GTCCATACCAACACACTTAGTATAACAGTATGGGCCAATCGAAGTATAATAAAAGTTGTAATTTGCCTCTCAACTATCCTCTTCATATGGTATAACGTGTAGAATATCTTATCCGAACTCTCCAATCAAAATAGGCAGCATTTAGAAGTAGAGGAAATCTATATTTTTCAGATACCTAAAGTTGATAAGAATAAGTTATATTTATTTAGTTTAACTTGATTAGGTTCATAGACAGATGGATATTAGACAACACTATCATAGAATCCTGCTATTTAAAAATTGAAAAAAGAATATATAATTAGGCTAATTGAAGGTATGAAGACCGAGATGTTGTGGCATTTTGTGTGGTTGTAGTCTCCCTTCGTTGTATAGAAATTGTTTGACCTTGTTTTCGCAACTTTGTCCTATTGTTAGGAAGACTTAGAGAAACGGACCTAGTCCGGAGTCCATTTTATGCATGATTATTTCCAGAGTCAGACCGTGGACGTGGTGCGCTCCCAGACACTTCGTCGGCATCGTCAGTGAGTCTTGCCATTTTTTAGCATCACGCCTCAACTCGTCAAAGAGACAAATGAAGCCGATCATTTGAGCAATCGTCTGCTAAAAAATCTCTGGCTTTCTGAGCCCCCATCCTTTCGGTGTGAAGATGTCTCATGAAATCCACTCAAATGGACACACCATACCACATTTAAATGAGCAATTAAGAACGTGTGATAGTTAAAGTGTGGTACAAGGACATAAGTTATGTGAAAAGCCCAAGCCAGAAGGAGAGATAGCACAACTGTTTAGCAGACAATTGGTCAAAGAAACGTCTCGGAATGTACCACGTCCATGGTCCTACTCTGCATATTATCGTGCAAACAATGATCTCCAGACTAGATCAGTTCTTTTAAGTCTTCCTACCAATGTGACCAAGTTGCGAAAACAAGGTCAAGCATGTCAAGGTATGTCGAAACCCACTGTTTCAGCTGCTAAAATATGATTAAATTAGCTAATCACGTTTCAATGACAGACGAAAGCGAGATAAAAATTAGCGTATAATGAGCCAAAAGATTTTCTCTATTGTGGGTGGATATATAATTGCTTATCTCGGCGTCTGAAAGAAAAATTGTTGAAAAAGCAGACGAACAATTGCATTCTTCGACATTGGCACATTTGGCTAGAAAATCCAGAATACTTTGGTCACTTTTCGACCTTCACTAATTACTGTATGGTTTTCCAGGGGATAACATACCATCTACTACTGGACACGGTCGAGTACAGTTCTCCATGCAGATACCGGACTCCAATACCGGACAGACCAGCATCACAGACGCCAGCCTGGCATCACCCCCCCCGACCTCACAGGTAAGTTGGAGAAAATTGGCGAAAATGGTCTGCCGGATGCGCACGTCAATCGTCCGACTCATCTCATCTGTTTGCATGCCTGGGTTGGTGGGCACACTGGCAACGTATAGCGTTTGAAGCCCGGTAATACCATAGATTGGCAGTAAAAGTATCGTAGACAGAAGATAGTGATGCAAAATAAAGCCGAGCATTAACAGGTCGGATCCATAGCGAGGCACTGGTATCGAAGGTAGAGATATGGCAAAGATAGCTGCCATAATGAAGAAAACAGCAGTTCGCAATCTGGCAACTTAGATTCCTCTTCTTCACGTCTTTCTAATAAATGTTTGCCTTGGACGAGTATCCCTTTCAGGCTACCTGAAGGAGAGGAAGAGAAAAGAAATACATTTACGGTTGATTTTACCGGTTATTTTATTAAAATCATACACGTAATCTAGATTTATTC